ATCTTAATGCTCGGGCGTTTTGTCAATGCTACGAACATGATACTCTTCCGAGGAACTCTAATTAAACGTTATATAAATTTATCTTCCCAGAAGGTATTACTCCTTGCACGTCACCGAGGACACGTCGCAAGCTTTGTCACAAGTGTCACACCCCTTCAGAAACGCAACGACACCGTGATTAGCAAAGGCGCCAGATTGACGCGGCCAGCGAGAAAAACGCTCGAGTTCGGAGGGGAGACACGCGCGGAAAGGAACAGCCGTGTTAATCAATCCTGTCCGCTACTCACCGTTCCGCGGTAGAGTGGCGATTTTCCTAGGCGGCTCGCACCCTTTCATTATTTCCAGCGTACGCTTCCGTATCGCTTGATTGACGTTCAGTCGCGAATTCCGAGCCTCCGACCGATTTGAATTTCAGCCCGCGGCGCGTTCTCGAGAAAAGTTCTCCTAATTACACGCGACACCTTTCGGAGAAACATCGGCGACACATTTTACGACCAGACGAGCGATCGACTTGCAAATCGACGTGGACAAAAAAAGGAGAAAGAGAGAAAGAGAGAAAGAGAGGCGATATCCTTGTCGGTAGGCGGTATTGTAAGTTATCGAGGCTGGACGATTATCTCTGGGCACTTCACGGCCCCCGGGAACGACGGCCACTTTTATTCGTCAAAGTCCTCGGGACACCATCGTTGTTGACATCGTCGAGTCTCCCGCCTGTAAGCCGATCTTCGAAAAAGAGTAAAACCGCCGTCGCTTCGGCGGCACCGCGTTTAACCCCTTCTTATTAAATAAATCATCCGACCCCGTACACCGGCCAGCCAATATCTCAGAGTCTCATCTTATAATTCCTACATTAATTTCTCTAATAGTCATGGACGCCGCTTTGTCTTCCGTGGCGCGACATTCGAAACCAGCATTACCCTGCCTCCGCGCTATCGATAAACTTTATAAACGGAGCTACGAACATCGTAAATTATCGATTAAAAAAGAAAAAAGAAAACGATCGTAAGGTAGCTCCGTAACGGTTTAATAATAGAACGGCGAATTATTTTTCCGGGTGGTTGGCGACAACTACGCAGACTCGAGACATCGTCCGGCGGACCTTGAGCGCGGCGATACTTGTCGCTCGACGACGCGGATGCCCTTCGCTTGCTGAACAATCTCAAACAGGACGGCGAACAAGAATAAACGGTTGGCCGGATACAAAATTTCACAGACGTGAAAACGCGTACGAACGGTACCGTTGCTACCTCGCTACCTCGCGAAAGTCTTCAGTTACGAACGAGGCGCGAACAAGTTTTCGTTTTTGAAAAAATTGCGAAAGAGTCGTAAAATTGCTTCTTTCGAGCGCTAGGTTGCCGTTATTTAAATAGACACGCACTTCAAACGTATATACTTACGCGCATACCTCACGCGCGTTTTCCGTGCCAGCAGCATCGTCGCAACTTATCCAATTAACTTAAGAAGCGAAAGTTACGCAACGGCTCGGCTTTCGAAAGCGCGAAGCGGTTGAAGAACACTCACCTCTGACAGCGGCGTTGAGTCTGTCCAAATTCGCGAGAGTGAGAGGCACCGGACCGAAGTGCATCACGATCCTGTCCACGTGTCCGTGGTGTTCGTCGATCACCACGGGATCGCGCCGCGCCATGAAGATGCCCGTGTAACTGCGACGCACGTAGTGGCCGCACGTGTCGTTCAACGAGAGATCCAGGGTGGCGTTCAGCACACCCTTGATCGCTCTCTTAACGCGCACGTGCAACTGCCCGTTCCTCATATCCTTGATCTTCCCCGTGAAGATGTAATCCGCCTGACGAACCTTACTCATGAAAGTGGTGTCGTTTCGGATGGCCGCGGTCAAATTCGCACGACAGTCGAGAAGTTCCTTGGTAGACGAGACGGCCAAAGGCAGCATCACGCTGGCCCATATCACCAGAAAACCGAGTTTCAAGTTGACATCCATTTTTCTTCCTTTTTCTCCTTTTTCGCCGTTTCTTCACACCTTCTTGGCTATCACTTCATCACTCTCTGTGAACATACGTTCGCACAATATTCCGTCAATGTAATAGATTGTTCGTAATTATTCGCGCACCATCGCACTCTTTAAATTCATGCTTCAATTAACGGTGGCTCGGCCGATTATTCCGATCGATCGTACGTTAAAATTCTGGCTCGAGCGTGCGGCGTAATCAGTGCCGAGGATCTACGAACGAAAATGATGGATGACGCGCTGGAAAGTCCCTGCGACAAACTCGAAAAACTGAAACTATCACCGAGACGGTGGAACGAAACAAACGTCGATCGAAAGAGGATTTCACTGCTCCGATCCTGGTCTCGGTTTGATTAGTTCCTTGGCTGTCGATCGGGACATCGTTTCTCGAAAGATACCTGGCCACTCGAGTTGAGCCCTCTAAATGGAAACGAGTCCGATCTTATACGAGGCGTGTGATCTTGAGCAACAGGTTGGCGCCGTATGTCGACCCACGCTCGCCGATTTCCAATCCGCGTGACTCGTTTCCCGTTCTACCCAAGTGGCAAGTGCGAAACTCTGCGCGATTTGATCGCGTGATCGATAAACTGTCGATTCGGCAGCTGGCTGCCTCGTAGCGTACGATATTTTATCGCACTGGAAGACGATTACGCGCGATATTGTTGCGGAATGTACGATCTTCAATGATTTTACCCGTCCTACCGGAACATCGAGCGCCAACGAACGCGCAATTTGTGTCCAACGACGCGCGATTCCTTTGTCCACTCGGTTCGAGCTCTAAGTAAAATTTAATACGATCAACCCGATGATAGATCAGTCAGGTAGGAAAAACTCCGAAAAGAAAAAAGAAAAATATCTCGCGCAAACGATCGACTTTCACTGAAACCGTACTTTCTCGCCGTCGACTAGAAATTTTTCCATCGTCTCCGAGAAGGAAGAAGAAAAGACTGAACAAACGTACTCCGTTACACTCGCGAGACACTAGAAAATAGATCCGCAAGTACATCCACGTAAGTAATTTCCAAAACGTAGTTCGGCAATTCACTAAATGACAACCTGATCACTGATCACTGACCAAATCGTTTTATCGTTGATAAACGTGTGGACGAACGGCGATCGAACGAAGCATCGATCAAAAATCGTCGAATTCGACGACGCTGAATCGTGTCGTTGAGACGAGGAACGAAAGGAAAAAAAAAAAAAAAGAAAGAAAGAAAAAAGAAGCAACTGGCCACCGTCGACTCGATTCGAATCGGTATTGGACCGACGGGTGAACCTCCGGCTGACAGATGCGACGAGCAAAAGCACTGTCAACGATCGAGAAGTTAGCGGCGCGCTCGACATTCGGGCTACCACGACGACTATCCGCGATCCTGCGCGAGAGTGAGAGAGCAGTGGTTGAGGTGGTGGTTGGTCGCGTGGAGGCACGCGCTGAACTGAGGAGGGCTAAGTGTGGATGCTGCAACTACAACGTGTAGGCGTAAGTCGCCTTAGACCAAGGGACCAAGAGGGAGAGAGAAATGATCGGCCGAGTGTGTGCACACGTCGCTGCACACACACACACACACACGCGTGCCAGACACAGGCTCCCGCCTCTTTCCGTGCACGCTCGTGTATTCGTACGAGGCTCGCGAGAAAAACGGAGGGGAGAGTCAGAGCCGGAGAGACAGAGAGACGTACGTTTCTTTCTTCATATCTGCCACGTGAGCATCCAAAGATGCGTGCTGTATGTGGGTGCTATTGACACACTTACACCTACGCCGGAATTTTCACGTGCGTGTACCGTTCACGAGACGACACGAGGAAAGAGCGTGGAAAATGGATCGCGTGAAATGGAGGAAACGGCGGGAAAAGGCGGGTACATAGATCAACGTTGAACGTTCATGTTCGCCTGTGAGAAATATTAGGGTGCCAACCCTTGTCGTTGCGTGCGAGCCACCGTTTTAACACCTTAACGCCCGTGATTTCGACAACGTGGGTGACGACTGGGCAGAAAAAAAAAATCAATCTGATCTATATCGACTCTAACGAGCTACAATCGCGAGCAGTTTGTAATTGATGGCTGTCGATAATACGGAATGGCATCGGTGCGATGACCGCTCGTTCGCCGGTTTATCGGCCGCATCACCCACGAAACGGTGGGAATTCTTCTTAACGAGTCTGTCGAAGAAGCTAATGGATCGACTCTCGAACGTGACAACGCGCAAGGGAAATGGCGCGTTCTTGTTCGTTTATTTATGATAATAGTTTCCTTTCCGCGGAGCACAACGGACCCAAGACTGATCTACGATGTCGTCAGTTATGGTACATCATAATTTCCGCGGATATTTATACGCTCGCGTACAATGTTATGCAGCACCGCGGCTTGGGCGTGGATAGAATGGAGATTCTTGTCTCTTCGCTCGGCCAACCAGATATGGTCTCGAGTTTCGAACTATGTTCGCAGAGAACGATCCTCCAACTAGAGATACTAGAACTCTCCGTTTTGACGACGAAAAACCGGCCAGCACGCTACCCACGCGTTCTCCTACCATATCGCGAAACCACCCTGGCATTGTTTTTTCCAATCGAGCAATCTCACCGACGCGACCAGCCCCGCTTTCCACAGTTTCGTTCATTAGATCGGACTAATACGGGAGATATCGGGAGATACGAGCACTTCGAGATAGGTCAAAAATCCAAAATAACGTCGAGACACGCGGTCCGCGAGCGGTTACCGCGACACGATAATGAAACAGAGATCCGTATCTGGTCGACGTTCGCCCACGTGGACGTGGAGGAATGCAGGCACAACTAGTTGCATTGTTGCAGAAATATGCATCGATAGTAATAGGCAGACCGGTGACGTTAATGAATGCCTTATGAGAGTGAGATCCGTGCTGTATCGCCGTCGATTAAGCGAGATTTCTCGCCCGGCTAAACGGTCCAGATCCACGCGATCGTTTTCGAAAGGAAACAGCTCTGGAAACGCTTCTATGGGGACATTAAGTCCCCCCGGGTACGCGGCGTGGCACGATCACCGACGAGCAAAGCGAATCGGCCCGATGCCCACGCTCGCGCGACATATCACCGGCAATCGGTTCGGGCTCGAGCGTCCTTGTCCGTATGTCCTTACCGCCGATACCTTCGAATCCTATCCCCGAGGGTGTGGTGTCGACGTTACGCCTCGGATTCTCTCGTATCTTCCATCTGAGATTGTCAGTTGTCCAAGACCCGTAATATCCTGCAAAGTGCTAACGTCGCAATTTCCAACTGGAATATATCACATTGTTCGTTACAGTTGTGGTATTCAGTCGTAAAATCTGCGAGAGGATTTCCACTGCTCGGCGTCGTTTGCAATTTTTAGATCGCTATCGAAACTTTCGCCGCATCGTCGTAGCCTCGGTAAAATCTACCCATCCCCTGCGTGAGCGTGCGACTCCGATGGATAAAGACATCCAGATTCGCTTAATATCCTTATAATATAAAATGTATGGAATAAATGGAGAAGAGCGATTAATTCTGAAAATTCGTTTCCTTGTATTCCGGACAGCGTTAAAGACGTCCGTGTTAACCGTTAAACGATTCACCCTTTCGAAGGAAGAACCTGTGTTTGTGTATACAGACAAGGTACACGGGAGGCTGCACAGTAGACAAATCGTCGGTCGATGGAGGTAAAATATGGCGATGGAGAGACGAGACAAGCTACCGCGCCGACTGATCCGCCAGCTAACGAATGGATCGATTTGCGTGGCTCGTTAACAATACACGTAAGGAAGGCTAATGTGCCACTTTGTTTCGGGCGACCTCGCCGCGATGAGACTGTTGCGGACAGTTGAGTAAAAAGAGCAAGAATAAAAAGAGCAGATCTCTCTCGCAGCTTCGTCTATCTCTCGAGACACTCCACTCGTTCCGATCTGACTTCGTCCTTGTCGGCCAGGTACCCAACCCTTTGGGGTTCGATTATCCTTGTCCCATCGGGACGCTAAGTACGTGTACCCTTGATTAAACTAAGCTTATAAGCTCTCTCCTCTTACAAGGAACATCGAAAGTTATCGCACCGAGCGGATTTGTCTCGCCGTCGCATCGCGCTGTTCGGAACGAGGGAACTGAGTTTATTCGCATCCAGTTTATCGTTTATTCACGCTTCGCGTCGCGACTGCGCGGTTCGGCACGCAGAATTTACTTGCCGAACCGGTGAATATATACACATCTCGTCGTCGCAGAGGCAAGTCGTAGATCGGCCGGAGAAACCGAGCCGATGACGGTACGATGGAGATGAGTTATGACAACCGTCGCCTCTGGCTTCTCCGTGTTACAATCTCGAACCACCCTCGTCCGCAGCGTTGTTCCACCGACAACTTATGAATGCTCGCGTGCGTCTTCGCTGTAATGCCGATGTCGTTAGCCCTTTGTACGTTTGTCGAGACGTTCAACGTTGAGTAATATCGCGTTGCGGTGTCTGCTGTTCGAGAAGCAGCATCCGAGTTCGAGATGCTCGAGATTTGCAGAAAAGCGTACAATCCAGCACACTGATAACTCCACGAACGAACTAAGAGTTATTCCAAGTTGACATTATACTTTGAAGAGTATTATCGCGAGCCAGTGCAACGTCTTAACCTCTTGCGCTGGAATGACGTGCCACGCACGTCGAGGATTTTTTTGTCCCAAAATTGCAATATTTTCTCAGTTTTAAGTATATTATCAGTAAATTTATCATTTCTTAATAATTTCTATCCAGTGATATCATTCCGACGAGTTCAGAATGCAAACGACCGTGTCATTGTATACGGTTTGGTCACTCGTTATGGTCCGTAAAACAGTTGCCAGCGCAAGGGGTTAAGCAATCCCGACCGTGAACTAGTTGGATAATTCGCCACGTGGAAGAACTCCCACGACCGATTGTCTCCCATTGAACGGAACGTGGAGCGTGTTCGAGGTGGATGATCGGTCGGCCGTGGCGGCGGCGAGTGCCGTGGTCCAGCGTGGCGCGC